TCTTGCCTCTAATCTTTATGAGCAGCACAACTCCTTACCCACTAGGCCACCAGACTCATTGGGAGAAAGATGACAATTTCCTCCCTTGGACCCCACCCCCTCCCCAATCCAGAGGATCAGCTATGAGTCTGTTCTGGCTCGATGGAAATGAGTGTGTTTTTTGTCTTTATGGGAACAGATTGCTAGGCCTTTTCCCCATAGAACTACGAGGTGAGTTCAAACCAGCAACCCGTCAGGTAGCAATTGCTTGTTTACATTATGCGTGAGGGCTCATTATTTGTTGACTAACAGCCTTAAAAAAAATAATAATCTATATAGAAAATACTCAACATTGAGAAATAAGGCCGGGTAGGGGGAAGGCAAAAGATTCATACCCCCCTTTGGATTATTTCTTTCCAGTTTGTGTTCTTATTGTGCCTTTTAATACATAATTGTTATTGTCAGTTCAATCTCTTTCCCTTCAGGCTATCGTGCTATTTCATGTTCTTACATAGTCTTTTTTTTTTTTTAATTCATTTTATTTAAAAAAATTTAGTCTTGATACTAATCCATTCAATAAATAGTCAGCAAAGACCAAATGGATCAGGCTGCTATCCGAAAGGTTGGCAGTTCAAATCCACCAAATGCTGCATGGGAGAAAGATGAGAAGTCACTTCCTGTAAAGATTTACAGCTTGGAGATCAATTTGAAGGAAGGAGGTTTACTACTTGTTAGGTTCCAGACCCTGGGGGCATAGCACCAAATACAACAAACGAAGCTTCCTGTTCTCCTGGAACTCATATTCTGATGGAAGAAAGAAGAAAACCAGGAGCACCCCACTAGAAAGGACCAAGGAAAAAGAGACATGACTACAACCCTTGACACTCAGACTACAGGAAAAAGAAGAATCAAAAAGGACTGCTTTTATCCCTATTATTTAAGGGGTACATAACTGATTTCAGTAAACCCAGTGTTAGTTGCTTTATGGTCTCCAGGTATTTTTACACGTGGCGATTATGGATGTGGTTGGCATAAGTAATTTTGTTTCCCTCCCCCTCCCTTTTCTACTCTGATTAACATTTTCCTTTTTAAAAAATTTTTTCAATTTTTTTATTTTAAAT